AAAATGTCGACAGAAAATATCGGCACCTCTTCCGAACGAGTCGTGTCCTATATATGCTTGCTGATTCTGGAGCTTTCTACTGCTTTCTAATGGTCAGTTGTTCCACATTCTGAGTTATGGAAAATTCAGACCCTCATTCATACCGTAGCTCCTGCGCTGTCTTGGTCAATTTGTTTCTGGTAGCAAATTCGCAGCACAAATTGTGTATCATGCTTTCCTCGACATCTTATTATTTTTTTCGGTGCGTAGTACCTTCCCGCCCATTGCGACAGTTCCTGTTCTCAGACTGAGATATATTGATAGCTAGTATACCCTACATTCACTGTATTTCTCATACGCGGGCCATGCTCTATCGAAGCTGTACAAGAATCTGTGGACTTGTATTCCCAAAGAGCTGAGCCACTGCGCCCTTGAACAATGTCAATGAGGTTTCAAATGAAATGAGACGTGGGCTGATGTCAAAGAGCTCAAATGAACTTTGTTGAGGTCGCAAAATCCAGAACAGCATCACAGAACTAGTAAGGAGAGATGATCATCAATACTAGACTGCAGGATAGGAAGATGGTCAAATTGCACTCCTACTCAGTAGGTAGTGGACGTACAGTTGACAAGAGCTGCAAAAACATTGCAATCCATTTAAGTGAGATCAAGAAACTCCACAATGACAAAATAATGTGCAAGTTGGCATTAAAGGTTGAGCTACACAATGCAGAGTGAAAAGTGGAGAAATTGGAGGAGGTCACCAATTTTTGATGCCATGTGCAGGAATTGAAAACAAGAGAGCAGGAAATGGAAGAGAAGGATAACAAGTTGAGAGTCGCCTTGGCAGAAATTGACAGGCTTTGTGAGCACTCGAGGGCCATCGGTTACTATTTAAAGCGTCATTACGACCGTTTTCTCTCTCGCTTCTTTCCCCCGCGTTGTCTCTGTATTCCCGGTGCCGTTGCAATTGCAGTTGGATGTGATGGCAACTAACTATGCACCACACTCAGCGATGCTATGACTGGCCAATCCTGGGATCTTGTACGGTACAGGGCCAATACGCGACGTGATCGCTGGACCTCGTGAAAGTGTGCTAATAGATACCTTTACCCACAGGACGCATGCCTTCTCCAGCCTTCTCCACCTTTGTATTCGAATTCCCACACTTCCACCTCCCTACCAAAGCCGTTGAGCGGTAATTGAAGCCGGTGTGGAACTGTGTACTAGGTGAGGCACCTCTCTGCCTGGGAGTCGGACCCAGCTTTCGCGCGTTCCGAGATCGTTGACATGAGATGACAGGCGCGTGTACTAACCGATATACTAGCAAAGAATGTGAAAATACGTCGCGTAAATACTAATTCTGCGCGGTCCAGGTGCATTCTAAACTTCAGGGGAGGAGAGGCGTAACTCGGATGTGCGGTGTGAAATGACTTTGGCCGTCTTTTACAGCGTTCGAAATCCAAGCACATTCTTCATTTCAATTACTACACATCCTCCTCTGACGATATCACACACTGCGGCTGTGCCACCACCACCATATGTGAATTACACGCCTTCACTCGTGCTAGGCAGCTCTTGATATATAGCTCTTCATTGTCCCTACCAACACCAATGTTATGCGTGAGATGGAGGGCTATATCTCGAATTGGAGGCGGAGTGCAGCTGCAGTCAATCTCTGAATCAATGACACGATCATTAAAATTGCTACCAGTGCTGATTGATTTTGAGCCACGACTTGGAGAAGCACTGAGTTGTGCACGCCTTTCGCAGAGTTTCGTCATTAGATCGACAGTTGCTACGTCGTGGATAGCCATTGTTAAGACTTCGATGTTTGGAAGCAGGATCCCTTCCGCGATCTTCTCCATCTCTTTGTTAGTGAAAAGTACCGCATGGGCCTCAAGGTTGCGCAAGCAAGCTAATTCCTCCAGTCGCGCCTCTGGGCATGGGCCCAGCCCAAATATCGTCAGAGACTCTACTACCAAAGTGTGTAGGACGCATTTCGAACGTACAACCAAAGAGCCGGCAACATTAAAAGCTCCGGTAAAAGACCAGTAGTCGACTTCGACCGTTAAGAACCGCAAGGCTGGGACATATAATAACGTCGGAAGGAAAGATCTTTGATAGGGGAATTGGCGCGAGTCTTCGTGGAGGGTAAGGGATTTGAGGTGGGGAAGATCGACTCTGGTGAATGGAGTGAACTGCTGCTCTTCGTCCTCTTTAGTCACTCTCAATTGAATATGACAGTCCTCGAGGTTCTGACATTGTTGCAATATCTGGACTGCAACGGACAGTGTCAGGTAGATGTGTGGGTATTTGGACAATAGCGTCAGAGATATAAGCTGCTTGAACGGAATCGTTGTAGGAAGGCGCACGTATCCATCTTTATGGATCTCAAACGCGAGACTAAGAGAGCGTAGACAATCCATGCCAATGAAACAAGGTGAATCCTGGATGATGTGATACGGGTTGTCAACGAGAATGGAATAAGGTGTGATTATCAGTTCGAGGGTCTCTAACGTTGGAAACGATCCCGAAGGCATTTTCAGCAACTCTATAGTCGCGTTCATGGAAAGTCTTCTAATCTGTGCTTGATAGGGCACCACGAGTTTCTGGAGCGCCACTTTCCCGCGCTTCAACTGTTTTGTATCGAGTGAGAACCCATACAAAGGATTCCGGATGTTAAGAGCCCAGAATTCCATCCGCGAGGCGTCGTCTGGGCTGAAATCGAGTCCAAGATAACGGTATTCCAAAATGATGGAATGTCAAGGACCACGTCTCTCCACAGTGAGCAAATCTGTCGCAGTATCCACGGTGAGGATTTTGGATCGGGATTATAACTATCGAAGGATCCGTATTCTGGTACGGTCTCTAGGAAGATCTTGCCAAGAATATCTGGAGGGACCTTTTTGTGAGGAACGATTGGAGCGTTGAGCTTTCCTAGGTGGGATATCTGCAATGTGAATCCGGCCTCTAATAAGAGAGTTTGTTCTTCTGGCAAATTGTGAATGGGGAGGACGATACGATTTGATGAACCCGCTTCGACCTCAATGTGATGTAAGATTGCTGGCCCGCCTTTACTGACTGTCATTGGGGACATGGCCAAGAGCGAGTTTTGAAGCGTTTTTCAAACTAGGAGAGGCAAAAAATATCAAGATGACAAGGTTCTTCAAGAAAAGAGTCGCACGATTGAATCAAGGCAATGTATGGGCTCCATCAATATTTGGAATGGATTGATTTGCCTCTGTTGTTGGATTGTGACGAGATTCATATCTGATATCATTATATCGTTATAATATGACGGACCTCAAATCCACACTACAGGAGCACTAGTTTCAGGTGAAAGTAGGGCTCTAAGGCAGAATGTTCGAACAAACGCGTTACAAACGGGCAACAAATAGAACCGTGAAAAAGCAAGACTTGGGCAACGACAGACGCGTCTCACGCGTCCTTCTTGATATGAGCGCGAGGCGGACATCACCTCGTGCTTGAATACGATATCCGACGACTGGTGCCAAATTCTATCACCAACGGACTCTTTGAAACTTTCTATCTCTTTCCATAATACCCATCTTGCGGCCATTCAACTAGCATTTATTTCTACTTGAATAGGAATACTGTGGGCGCTATAGTTCTGGGTGAGACTCTTACATTCCCGAAAACGGGGACTACCCTTCTTCAGTAGACCTGCGATTTCGTGAGAGATGCGAAAAGAGAGCGAATCGGACGCCTCGTGTATGTGATTGATCAAAACATCATATGACCCGTTTTCTCTCTCTCTTCTTCCCCTCACCGCGTTGTCTCAATATCCCCAATGCCGTTGCAATTGCAGTTGGATGTGATGGGGGACTACCGATGTACAACACTCGACAATGCTATGACTGTCCAATTCTAGATCCTCTATGGTATATGGCCAATACGCGACGTGATATGAGGGCCTCCGTAGATGTACAGAACCGCTGACTGGTCAGCCGTGGCTATACTCTGTCGATCCTTCCCTTTATCTGATAATACTGGCAGTAAATAGTGGGTCGCCTTTCCATCGTGCTACCCACAGGTATTCTCTTCGTCGTCGCCGTCGAGCTGTATGCCCAAGGTCGACCTTCATCAATATTAGGTGCCTGCTCGAGATGCGTGCGCCACTCGCCGTCGAAGAACCACAACGGGACGATCCGTGTTCACGAACGCTTTCCCTGCATCGTCTCATCGATGCTTACATTCACATCTTCAACCCGATCTGATGATGATCGTTCGCCCGTCAGATCCCCTCTGCTGCCATGCGCCATACCTACGGAGACGCCCAGAACATAACCTCACCCCGTCCCGTCCACCCAATGGATCTCACCCAGCCTTATCCTTTCGCTTCTTCTTCCAGTCGGGCCCCACCATAACAACCCATCTGAATTGAAAGTTCTGTCATCCGCCCCTCCCATCCGCTTCATCCCCTACAGACAGCTCTACCTCTCTGCACCCGTCGTGCTAATAGACCTTTTTACACACAGGACGCATCCCTTCTCCAGCCTTCCTCCACCTTTGTATTCGCATCCCATACTCCACATCCCTACCCCAGCCGTTGAGTGGTAATTGAATGCCATCTGCCCAAAGAATGTTAGGATCGGGGATGTGCTGGCCGGGGTGAGTTGGAGTGGGCGTCGAGTAGGAAGGGAGGGAAGGAGGACAGATGGTGAGGTTGGAGTGGAGGTAGGGATGGGGATGTGAATACCGCACACAATGACAAAGGATCGATTGAATTGCTCTAGTATTCTGTTGTATCCTGTATCCTGTGGTATCTTCGTGAATTGGCTTCTCCAGATTTGAATGAGGGATCGTGACCATTCTCTCGGCTGCTAATGCTGGGATCAAAATGTATTAGTTTGAATGGCGCCTGGAGCTCAAACCTCGATTGTTCATTAATCATTTTCTGCATGTACTTATTGACGAAAGGAAACATGTGTATGCACAGTTGTCTTCTCAGATCGAGAATATTATCAAAAAGTGGAACTGTGTACTAGGTGAGGCACCTCTCTGCCTGGGAGTCGAACCCAGCTTTCGCGCGTTCCACCATCATTGATGAGATGACAGGCACGTGTACTAACCGATATACTAGCAAAGATTGTGAATGTACAGGACATAGGAACCACAAGTGTTAGTTCTATACGGTCTGGGTGTATTCTGAACTTTAGGGGACATATAGAGGAGAGGTGAGTCGGATATCTCAACATATATCGAACACATTCATCACAATTCAATTACTACACGTCCTCCCCGGACGTTATTACGCCTTGCGGCTGTGCCACCACCGCCATATATGAATTACACGCCTTCACTCGTGCTAGGCAGCTCTTGATATATAGCTCTTCATCGTCCCTACCAACACCGATGTCATGCGTGAGATGGAGCGCGATAACTCGAATCGGAGGCGGAGGGCAGCTACACCCAATTTCTGGATCAATGCCGTGATCATTGCCATGATCATTAGTATTGCGGGCGGCGCTGATTGAATTTGAGCCACGACTCAGAGAAGCGCCAAGTTGTGCACGCCTTTCGCAGAGTTTCGTCATTAGATCGATAGTTGCTACGTCGTGGATAGCCATTGTTAAGACTTCGATGTTTGGAAGCAGGATCCCTTCCGCGATCTTCTCCATCGCTTTGTTAGTGAAAAGTAGCGCATGGGTCTCGAGGTTGCGCAAGCAAGCTAATTCCTCCAATCGCGCCTCTGGGCACGGGCCCAGCCCAAAGGTCGTCAGTGAGTCTACCACCAAAGTGTGTAGGGCACATTTCGAACGTACGACCAAAGAACCGGCGACATTGAAAGCCCCAGTGAAGGACCAGTCGTCGACCATGAGTTTCAAGAACCGCAAGGCTGGGACATGTAATAACGTCGGGAGGAAAGATCTTTGATAGGGGGATTGGCGCGAGTCTTCGTGGAGGGTGAGGGATTTGAGGTGGGGGAGGTCGACTCTGGTGAAAGAAGTGAACTGCTCTTCGTCCTCTTTAGTCACTGTGAGTTGAATATGACAGTCCTCGAGGTTCGGGCATTCTTGCAATATCTGGATTGCAACGGACAATGTCAGGTAGATATGTGGGCGCTCGGACAATAGCGTCAGAGATGTAAGCTGCTTGAACGGAATCGTTGTAGGGAGACACACGTATCCGGCTTCATGGATCTCAAATGTGAGACTGAGAGAGCGGAGACAATCCATGCCAATGAAACAAGGTGAATCCTGGATGATGTGATATGGGTTGTCAACGACGATGGAATAAGATGTAATTATCAGTTCGAGGGTCTCTAGCGTTGGAAACGATCCCGAGGGCATTTTCAGTAACTCTATAGTCGCGTTCATGGAAAGTCTTCTAGTCTGTGTTTGATAGGGCACCACGAGTTTCTGGAGCGCCACATCACCGGGCCTCAGTTGTTTTGTATCGAGTGAGAACCCATACAAAGGATTCCGGATGTTAAGAGCCCAGAATTCCATCCGCGAGACGTCGTCCGGACTGTTGATAGAGTCGAAGATAACGGTATTCCAAAACGACGGAATATCAAGGACCACGTCTCTCCACAGTGAGCAAATCTGTCGCAGTATCCACGGCGAGGATTTTGGATCGGGATTATAACTATTAAACGGTCCGTATTCTGGTCCGGTCTCTAGGAAGATCTTGCGAAGAATATCTGGAGGCACCTTTTTGTGAGGGACGATTGGAGCGTTGAGCTTTCCTAGGTGGGATTTCTGCAATGTGAATCCGGCCTCTAATAAGAGAGTTTGTTCTTCTGATAAATTGTGAATCAGGGATTTGGCGATTGCAGTGTGTTCGTTGGGGAGGATGATACGATTTGACGAACCCGCTTCGATCTCCGGGTCAATGCGATGCAAGATCGCTAAATCTTTACTGGCTGTCATTGGAGACATGGCCAAGAGCGAGTTTTGAAGCAGTTTTAGCACCAGGGGAGAGAAAAATCAAGACGAAGGAGTTCTTCATGAAAAGAGTTACATGATTGACTCAAGCAATATGAAGGGACCACCTTGATTTGCCTCTGTTGTTGTATTGTGATGAGATTCATATCATTTCACTGCGATAACATGGACGGACCTCAAATAACACTATGAATTTCACGTGAAAGGGTTCGAACACACGCGTTATGACGCACAACAAATAGAACCGTGAAAAGGAAAGACTAGGGCACGACAAACGCGTCTCACGCGTCGTTATTGATATGAGCATGTGGCGGACATTCTCCGTCATCGACTCTCGGACACACAAATCCTTACATGCTCAATGGATATTGATCACTCTCTGGGTCGTTACAAGCTCTTCCACCCCCATCTGCCATACGCGTCAAGAAACGGCCTTGACAATTGATTAATATATTTTAATTATATGAAGGGTCCACGGTTATTCGGGCTGTCAAGTCAAGCGCTTGGAGGCACTTCTGATATTGTCTGGATTTCAACCACGGATTGCTGGAGACGGTCCATGGAGAATGGCCCGTTCACAATGGCAATTGTTAGCACTGGATAGGCCAACTGAGAATTGTCAGTGTTAGTCAATAATTAAATGCGTATAATTATATCTAGTATTCTCACAGATACAACGGTGTAGGTTGTCAAGAATGTTCTAATAGCAATGTAATTGGCCTCCCGTTCAGTATCAGCGAGTGAAAATAGTAAATTGAATACAAGCTGACAAGTTGTGCATATGAGTCAGTGTGCTGCAGGTATATGATTGACGTAGACCGTACCTGGAATGCAGCATAGATAGCTCCCGATTCTAACAGGACGAGCAAGATACGCCATGCTTTGAAATGTTTGCGATGCATTCTCAGGTCCCGCAGCGACTTCAGGTTGTTCCTGGAGATAGTGTCATTGGTGATCCTCAGCGATATCTTGAGCTCATACCAGAGAATGTCTGCTATGAGCCCCGTTGCAGCCAAGTTTGTTGCAAGCGATAGAGCGAAAGATGAAATATTCAGATTAATCATGACTCTGTCGGTAATCTTCCCTTTTGCCGCATTGCGAGCATTGACGGAGTCGTTGACAAGCATGGATAATGTAACAGCTTTTGGGACACGTCAGCTACGTATCCACCCTGTAAATGACTTGGGAATACCAAATGATGATATCGACAGCGCAATCGAAATGTACAAGGGCAGGCGCCCGGTTCCCGAAATAGCCCAAGCTCGCCATATAATAACACACTCGTTGAATACCGGCTGGCAAGAGACAATGTCACAATTTCTCCACAAAAGGCTGAAAGGTAGTGGCTCACTGGAAGATACTGCAACCATTCACCAGCAATACCCGGCCCAAAGAGAGCATCATTGTAACGATCGGCTTCGCTAAAGAGGTCATCACCACTATTGATTAAAACCTGACTTTACGATGATCCTACATATGTCAATTAGCTTGCCTCAAGGTTTTTGGTGTTTTCAGCTGCCTATGATCTGTATAACACATTCGCATGAGCAGGCCTGCCGAACATCCACACAGTGCAAGTCATATCCGACTACAGTATGCTATCATGCCTGCTATTCAATATCTCCGTGGGCGTTAGAGCATGGTACCGAACGAAATAGTTATCTTTTTCTCTCTCTTTCACTGCCATGTCGACGGTCCAGAGTATCTCGAATGAAGCTAGGATACATACTGCACATCTCCGCCTAATTCAAGTTCTTCCCCAGCGAACTCTTGCACTCTACGGTCACTTGGAAAGAACTGCCAATGACAGGCAAGGACCAGGCCACGTAAGTTGAGGTTAAGTTTGTCATAACGCATCCTCGAGAAAATATACATTTCCCCAGGTGAACCCAGGGTCCAGCATTGACACTTTTGGTAGAGGGGCTACGCACAAAGTTCTTTCCAACTCGATATCAGATTAAGCCCACCTCTGGAAGCTTTTCTTACCGCTTGATACCAAGATCATCACCACGAGCCTCAACTGGACCTCTTCCACGGAAAGAGGTCCACACATTCACGCGTCACAGCCAACTCATCCTGAGTTGATGATGTACAGGCTCAACACGGGCTGCGCACACTGCATTGCACAGGCTTCAAACATCAGAATAAATGCACAGCGGTCATCTCGAGAAGACATACGATGAGCATATCCCACCCCGGCTCGACCTTCTTAGCGACACCAGGAAAATTGAGCCCCAAATCTAGCTTGTGGTACTGTGCGTTTGACGAGGACCATAGATATGAGATGGGACCAATGCTTGATGATGTTCTCTTGCCATCCTGTTGGCGTGAGCAGTGATGATGACACAGGATGAAATCTTGATCAGATGTCGAGGACAATTATGGGACAGAAGTCCTCGCGACAACACCCATGGAGGTTGGCACTGCCATCGTCCACCAGTGTCGACGGCGATGGTTACCCGTTGCCATGAGCCATCCGTGGTCGTCTAGGTAGCCTCGTATTTTCGTATTTTTTCCCGTACGAGAAGAATCAAAGCACGCCTATATGCACTATAATCTAAACCTAAATAGTCCATCATGGCCTTATCACGGTAGTAATAGCTATGCACAGTGCGAGCCCAACAGTCATTAACCTATCGGTGACGCAAAACCGATTGTTCAGGGTCGCATCAGGGGGCGGTGCAGGCTCGAGAGCCAAGCTGCCAACATAATACCAATCACTCCAAAAGGAAGCCTGCGCTCCAGTCTATTGATCGCAACGGAAGATGACATGTGGGAACAACACTGTTTCCTTTCCTTCCTTCTCCACTTCCGTTTTCTGGGCTTTATTTCCAAGGCCAACTTTGCCGATTCTTTCCGACCGACACGAGGAATTCGATATTTTCGGGCTCAGCAGGGGTAGCAGTAATAACATAATCAAAGTGGGACCTCCTTGAGGTGATTTCGCAATTGACACCAGGATGGTGAACCCAAGAGACCCTTCGCCGTATCAGTACCCCTACCCTCCACCATCTCTTTCGCAGACCCAGTCTCAGCCCAGACACCATGCGTCACCTCAACAACCTCATCTTTCACCATCACCACATTTCCAACACCAACCAAACCAATTCGGTTTTGCGAATGGAAGCGCAACCGCAAACTCATATTCCTCCGAATCGACAGCGTACACGCCGAAATCAGCTGAAGAGGCACGGATACT